AAGAAACCTTAAGCCACAAGTCTAGCTTTAAATTAATCTACTCCCTTATTCTTTGTATTTTTAATATTAAATACCTATTTGCTTATAATAATATTAGATCCTGCAGGAGAGACAACTTGCTTTTAAGTCCTGTTTACTTATAATACTATAAGTTCTCGCTTAATTACATTAGTCTAGTCTAAATCACAAATAAGATCTAAGATTACTTATTTATATATTATTAGAATTAGGATCTTCTGCTAACGTATTATATATGCTTTTGCAATCTTTTAATCCTGTAATTTGTAGTACTTATTATTATTATTATTTTAACTTTGCTTACTTATTACTTGTAGTCCTGCTTTAGTAAATCTATTTATTTACTATTAAAGACCTAGTTTTATAACATCTTTTTTTATTTTTATTATAATAACCTTCTCATCTTTTTAGCTACCTAGCATTAAAGAAACTTTAATTAATATCTTAATAAGTGCCTTTATTAATAAATTAATTTTCTTTACTATTAGTATAAGAGATACCTAATTAATTAAGTTAATTATATATAATATAGCCAGATTTAATTTAGAGTCTTAATTAGTAATAAGCTCCTTTTAAGGTCGTCCTTATGATGCATAATCTAGTAAGGAATTAGAGGTCCCTCTTATGTAAAGATTAACAGTTTTATTCTTCTAAAATTTAGAGTTACATATCTGAGATCTAGCGTGTAGATATAAAACTGCTTTATCATGTTTTCTTTGTATTCTATAAATACTCTTATATAGCTATAGTTTATCAGCTTATCTTGTTTCCCTAATGCTAATAGCGATTTTGGATTCATATATAAATAACACTACGAGTTACATATCCGAGATCTAGTACGTAGATACAAAACTGCTTTATTATATTTTTTTTGTATCTTACAAATATTCTTACACGGCTATAGTCCATCAGCTTATCTTGTTTCCCTAATACTAATAGCGATTTTGGATTCACATATAAATAATACTTACATCCCTAGATCCAAATGTAATTAATCGAAGGTTTTGTTCTAGTCTAAGCTTCCTTAAGGGTGATCCTTTGTCTATTTACCTCAGGGCCAACTGTAGTTCAGTTACAAATATATGCATTAGTCTTTGCTGCCTTATCCTATAGTTTAAGAGGCAACTCGGATTCCTTTAACATTGCTTAGATATTGTTTTCTGTTGTCTAAATCGTACGTTCGGCTATACTATTCTGGCTTGAGGTGTATAGGACAATATATTACGTACTAATTCCTATTTGTTAGCTTTACTTATTAAGGGTCTATTTAAGTTCTCTAGTATTGTCACTTCAGATCGCCTTTAGTTTCGTCCCTATAATAAGTTCTTTACTTCAGCGTTATCTCTTAAGATAGTCCTTTGCTCCCTTTTAATCCTTAATTAGGATTACTTATAACTTCCTAGAATGGTTATTAATAACCTCTAAGAAGTATTAGGCGCCACTAAGTGCAATTAGAAAGGGGCCACAAATATTAATTAATATAAGATTAAAAAGGTTAGCCTTATACTAGGAAACTTGAGCATTTGTTCAGTTTCTTATCTTAGTTAGATTATATACTTTATAAATGTCTATCTTATTTAGCTTATAAATGGCTTTCTGTAATATAACTTCTCTTTTATATAAATAAACCTTTTATACTATAGTTTATATTAGTCCTTTATAATACCTTCTTCAGAGATTATTTGTTAGTTATAGTTACTAGCATCCTTATTCTCTTGTTAACTATAATTGACAAGTGGTTATACAAGTGTTTAGTATGCTTGCTACTAATTATAGTTATTAAAGGATGCAGGAGGGGCATTACAGACTATAGTCTGCAAAGACTTATTTAATTAATAATATAAAGGCCTTTATATCTAACTACTTTAAGAACTATATTGCCATCTTAATCTTATATATATAGTGCCTTTTTGTCAAAACTGCTAGAAGCCTAGATTTATATAATAAAGAACTAGAGAGAAGGCTAGTACTTAGACTAGGTATGTATAATATATTTAATAGGGTTATTACTCCCCCTTTTGTATATATCTAGGCATATCCTGCCCCTCTAATATATAACCTTAAGTCTGCTGAATTTACTATTATCTCTTTAATTCTTCTTAGGGGTTCTCTAAAGAGAGAAAGCTAATTAGTTATATAGTCAGATGTATTAGTGTTAGCAATCCACTTAGGGGTCTTATAGATTAGCTTTTTTGGTGCTGTAAGATAGACTTCTGCTCTGCCTTTAGAGTTAAAAAAGAAGTCTTTTGCGCTTGTGTTCTCTTCCTTAACTACTCTTGTCTTTGGCTTGTTCCTCTTGCGTTGATTTGCTTAAGCTCTATTAATAATCTCCCTAATCTCTTCTATATGCTCCTTAATGTAAGGGCAGTTTCGCTATTTATAATTTCCTTAATAGGCAAAATATTTCAGCTGTCATAGTAGGCGTTCTCGGAAGTCTTTTGCGCTTGTGTTCTCTTCCTTAACTACTCTTGTCTTTGGCTTGTTCCTCTTGCGTTGATTTGCTTAAGCTCTATTAATAATCTCCCTAATCTCTTCTATATGCTCCTTAATGTAAGGGCAGTTTCGCTATTTATAATTTCCTTAATAGGCAAAATATTTCAGCTGTCATAGTAGGCGTTCTCGAGGTAAGGTTGTGCCTTCTTAAGAGTATAAGTGGCATTCATATGTTATAAATCTTTGGGATAATTATCAGCTAGAGGATGACTAGAACCTTGTTGATAAATGACGATATTGCCTGAAGACGACAGGAGTGTCGTTTAATAATAATTCTTTCTTAAGGAGTCATTACATAAGAGGTTTAATATTAAGGAGATGCTCTTCCTAATTATTGATGGCATCTTGTATAGTATCATATTCCAGAGGAAGGGAAGCAAGAAGCTATTAGAACATTTAATGTTATGTAGTAAATGTTTTAAGTGAGTTATTAGTCACTTTAATACGTCTTCTCAAGTGCTGAATCTCTATTCACGCATCTTTTATGCTCTCCTTAGGCTTCTTGTAATAGTTAATATACTACTATAGGTAATGTCTATTTATTAATAGTCTTGTCTTTGTGTATTTCTTCCTTAATATGTCCTACGCTTCCTTTACTAATGCGTATTCTTTTATAAGCTCCTGATCTCTGTCTCTAATACAGATATGGATAATGTATTATGCCTTTGTATCTAGCTTCTTTATCTTCTTAATAAGTACTTTAGTATATACTAATACTAGCCAGATTTCTTTTACTTAAAAGTAAAAGGTAAGGAGTTTAAACTATTATTCATGATTAATATATATAAGGATTAGTATTAGTCATCTTTTTACTATAGTGTTATCTATTTTAATAATAGAATAAAAGAATAATTAATATAAAATTAAATTAATTAAGATAAAAGGAATATATACTCTAATTATTACAGACTTTTGAGCAAAGAAGAAATATATTAGTTGATTACTATTATACTTAGTTAATCTTAATAGGATCAATTAACTCATAAGCTGTAATAAGCTGATTTCCGAGTCTCAGGATAAACTGTAACATAATTAATACCTTTGCTCTTGAATCCACAGACTTGTGATTCTATAGCCCTAGAGTATTTAACTTGCTCACATTTCATAATTAAATATGACACAACTATACCTCGCTACAGGAGTAGCAGCTTGTTTAGTAATCTTAATTAAGCCTTTACTTACTGTCAATGTCTATAGCTGTTCTACACCGGGCTTATAACCTGTTAAACGGGTATACAGATTAGGAACAGCTATCAACACTATTAATAGTTACTTCTTGCATGCAGAGTGAGATCACAGTGTATCTGCACGTCAAGTATAGATCCTGCTAGCGCACAGATTATGTAATATTTTCTGTGCTAGTAGTACAGGAAATCCTGCACTATACCTGATTAGGAATAACCTAATCAGGCAATATTTGGCTGTACATGTATAGCTAAATAGTACAGACTATAGTCTGCTGATCAGCATGTATTCTCAACAAATTACTTATTTAAAGATATAAGAAACTAAAACTTTTTATATATTAAGAGAAGTCTTTAAGATGCTAGAAGAACAAATTATTATAAAGGACTTTAATCTTTATTACTTAAGATAAGGTAAGCCCTTTTACTTTATATAATATAAGCTAGCTGATACTCTTCTTAACATTATATAAAAAGCAAATATAGACCTTATATTATTATAAGGCATAATTATAAGAGATTATTAAAGAGGTAACTTATATAAATAAATAACTATTAATCTAGCCTTTATAACTATAGTATTAAGATAATAACTTATATAATATAAAATAGAAATAGAGCTAGACTAATCCTTAGATCATCTCCTAATTTATACAGAGTTTGAATAAGATAACATAGAACCTCTAGTTAAGACACCCTAAAAAAGCTCTGCCCAAGTCTCTTCACAACAAGGAATGGTCCAATCTATTTCGAATCCAGCTTCTTGCAAGGTCTTGTTGTGCTAATATTCTTTGTCGATAGCTAGACCTTGTCTCCTTCTTTGAAATCGATTTCCCGGCGGTGCTTGTTCGCCTGCTCTTGCTGTCGCTCTTGCGCGACCTTCAAGTACCCCTGTGCCTACTTCCAAACCTTTTCCATTAGCTTTGCCAGGTTCTTAGCCTTCCCTAGGGCTACGCGTTTCCTTGCTGTCTCTGCAGACTCAGGCTTGTCAAAACTCATCCTTAGCTAATATTCGTGTGTGCTCATAAATGGCGACAGCTATGTAGACTCAGACACTGCTGCATTTGCAGCAAATTCGGCGCTTAGGAAGAGGTTATTCTAATTATTCTGTGCAAAATCCATATAGGCCCTTAGGTATTATTTCATCTCTGTATTAGAGACTTCTGTCTAGCCGTCTATTTATAGATGGTAAGCTGTAGATAGCTTTGCTTTAACTCTTAAGATTTAGTATTATTGTTTTCACACTTTGCTAGCAAACTAAGGCTCTTAGTTAGATACAATTATCTAAGGAAGCCTATAAAGCTTCTATACATTCTTATATAGCATCTTAGCTGTCTCCTCTGAAGTCGTGCCCTCTTCTACAGCTGTGCAAGGGATATAGTAGCGTTCCTTACTTAGCTGATCAACAACCACTAGAATAGCGTTGTAGCCTTCTGATGTTGGTAATCCCGTGACGAAATCCATTGAGATATCCTGCCAGGGGCGCTCAGGAATCGGAAGAGGTTGCAACAGGCCTGCAGGGAGCTGATGCACAGGTTTGGTCCTCCTGCAGACATGACAATTCCGCAAGAATCTCCCGACCAACGTGTATCCATTCGAGATGTAGTACCTACTATTCGCGATGGCCTTCCTTGTCTTTGTACGGCCTGAGTGCCTAGTCTCCTTGCTCTCATGGATCTCTCGAATCACGTCCGTCACTATTGCTGCTAGTACTGCCAGTTTTTCTCTGTACCACAGTACTCCTTCCTTGTCTTCACAATTTTGAATGTTGTACCCAAATATTTTCTTCTTTGGGTTCTCTACTCGTTTCTCTATCCTAATCGCGTTGAACGTCTCGTCAACCCGATTCTCTTTCTCTACCCTCTTCCAGAGCGGCAAATCTTCCTCCTCTAGCGACGCCTGTACTACCGAGATCTTTAGGTCGTCTTTCACTTCCTCGGACAGCATGTCCGATTGCAGAAGAGTCTAATGCAGATTAGGATCCTCCTTCGCTCTTAGGATCTCAGTTTCCCTTTGAGTTAATATGTTAGCTTTTCCGTTAGCAGCTCCTGGGCGATATCTGATCTTAAAGTTGTATTAAGATAACAACTCTGCCTAGCGTGCTTGCTGACATGTTAGCTTCTTTGTCAACATAAAATACTCTAGAGCCTTGTGATCTGTAAGTACTTAAATAAGATCCTCTCTTAATAAGTATAGCTCTAGCAACTATTCTTTAAAGCAGCGAATAATAGCTAGCAGTTCCTTATTATAAATAGCGTAATTACGCTTTGCTAGCGTTATGCTTACTAAGAAGAACGCTACTAGATAGAGTTCTTTATCTTTGCCTCTTTATGAAAGTATACTACTAATAATATAATCACTAGCGTTGCATTCCATGACTGTCTCCTTCTTAGGATTGAAATAAGCTAGGACTGGCTCCTTCGAAATCAGATCCTTTAGCGCCTGGAATGCCTCTGTATAATAGTTATCCTAAATACGCCCTGTATCCTTCTTTAATAAGTCATTTAGCGGCCTTGCTACCTTACTGAATCCTAAGCAGAATCGTCGATAGAAGTTGACAAACCCTAGGAATCTCTACACCACGCAGATATCTCCTGGCTTGGGTTTCTCCCACTCCCGAACGACTTGTATACGCTCTAGATCCATCCGAATGCCCTCTGGAGTCACGATCAAACCGAGATACTTCACTAACTATATATAGAACTCGCATTTCTTGATGTCAGCCTGAATATCACTTTCGCGGAGAATCTGTAAGACTTTCTGTACGTATTGCTCGTGTTCTTCTCTCAATTAGCTAAAGATCAAGATGTCGTTTAGGTACAGCACAACGAATTTTCCAAGCACCTTTATAAATTTCTTGTTCATAAAGCGTTGGAACGTCGCTAGCGCAGAGGTCAATCCGAATGACAATACCTTATATTAGTAGTTGCCATACGCAGTGCTAAACGTAGTGAGTTCGCAGTCTTTCTTAGTCGCTAAACAAATCTGATAATATATCTGTTGAATATCTAGCTTAGAGAAGACTATAGCTTTTCCAAGAAGACTTATAGTCTCATATCTAGCTTAGAGAAGACTATAGCTTTTCCAAGAAGACTTATAGTCTCGTCAATCCAAGGGATGGCGTAGCTATTCTTCTTTGTAATAGCGTTCAGATCCCTAAAATCGATACAGAAACAGAGTCCCCCTTAGGGTTTCCGTACCAGAAGAATTAGTGATGCGAACAAGGCGATGCTTGGTTCAATAAACCCCTTCTCGAGATGCTCCTTGATGTATTTCTTGACCACCTTGAGCTCCTCTGGGCTCATCCTACGCAGGGGCTGCGTTTGTAGCAGCTCGGCACCTGCTTCCAGTTTGATCTTATAGTCGTACTCCTCCCTGTGCTCCGGAAGAGTATCAGAAGCCTCCTTTGAGAAGACATCTGCGAATTCTTAAAATTCTACTAGAAGAACCTCCTCAGCCTTGGGCTTGTTACTCTGACTCTTACAGTTCTGCTAGAATATAAGTTGCTCTTTATAATCGCAATCCCCTGTAAACTTTACTAACAAATCCCTAGGATCTGGAATGCAGCTGTATAGCCTTATCCACTTCTTCCCCAAGATTATAAAGTACGCAGCCTTCGTCACATAGAAGATCTGCGATCCCTGCTGGTATTTACTAACGCGTATAAGCAAATAAAGGGCCTAAGAGATAGATTAATAGATCTCACTAGCAAAATCAGAGATAGGAATAGGTTTGGCCAGATCTACTATATTAATTTGTAATCTTTCACAAAGTTATTCTACTAATTAATAGTCTATAACTGCGCTTAACTGACATCCTGTATCTAATAATGCTAATACTGTCAATTTTTCTCTTCCCTTCTTAACGCTAACGTCAACCAGAAATAGAGCCTTGAAATTACCCTCCGCTACTGCAACAGGGATCCCTATAGCTTCTCTATTAGTTGCGTTGCTAGGCCTGCTTACAACGTCTTAGTGGCGGGCAGCTCTTTTCCTGATTGCTCTTATGCCTGAGGGCAATCCTTCACATAGTGTCCCATTTTCTTACAACAGTAGCACCTTACTGTAGACACATTTCTCAGAAGTCGTGGCTTAGCCACTGGCCTCTCCTCCTTTGCTGTTGATTCGCTAACAGATTAACAGGTGCTAGGAACCAAAGGTTTTACCGGCGTGTTGGCGCTAGCTGCTGGTTTATTTGAGGCAATACGTCGACTATTTATGTTGGCGTATGTCAGGTCTGTAATCATCTCCTGAATTGATGCATATCTGCGGAGAATGATTACTTGCTTCAGATCATCTCGAATCTTATCTCGAAGGTCCACGATCTGATCCTCTTCTCGGACCTCTGCTTCGCGAGAAAGCTGTCGGAAATCCCCTAAGAATGCAGCGAGGTCCTGCTGCCTTTGCCGTAAGTAGTGATACTCCCTACGAGCAGTCTCTTGTCGAAACGGAGAATCGAATCGAGTTGAAAGGTCCGCGAATATATCTGAAATCTGGGCCCTCTTGAAGTCCTCGAAATATGACCCAAGCAATTCCTGAGCGTCGCCGCCTGTGCGTGATTGTACATAGGCGACCTTAGATAGCTCTGTCGGAAAGAGCGCCGCGTTAACCATGAACTTCATCTTCATGGCTGACAACCAAGAGCGAAACTTCTGAGGAGATCCATCCTCAAAGACCTCTGGATGAGGCAGCTTCTCTGTCTTCGTACCAAGCACTGTCGAGGGGCTCGGAGTCGCTTCCAACGAGGCCTGCCTTTGAGGCAGCGACTCTTGTTCCGTTGAAGTCCCCGATGGAGATTCCACTCGAACTTGCGGCTTTGGTATCGCCGTAACCTTGTCGCGGAGGTTCTGAATGATCTCCTCCTTGTCACGGAGTCGATTCTTCAGAGCCTCAATCTCGATGCTGGTGCCTCCGTCAAGGTCTTGGTATCTTTCTTCCCAAGTTTCCTTCTCCTGGAGGACTTCTCGATGCTCAGCCTCCTTCTCCAGACGGAGGGCTTTCTCTTCCTCGTAGACAGCTGCCAATGTTAGTACAAACGCCGCTGCGTGTGTCTGATTCTCGTTGACCAGTGCCATGAAGGCTGGAAGAGCCGATGGATCATCCGTCGCTCTCTCTGCGTGTTCGATCAATGCGCGCAGGGCGTCTTGATCCGTAGGAGGGGCTTCGTCTAGGCTCCGTCTCCGGTTGCTCAAGGAAGGATAGCGAACTTCGCCACTCTCCCTTAGCGCTCTACTCTATATACTCCTCCATCGAACACAAGGGGTGCTACTAGTTAACCTGCGCAGAGGATCCGACAAAGTATCTGCAGGGCCAGAAGCGATAGCTTCCCTCTGGAGGAGATTGTACTTCCCTAAAGGGGTCGTATTAATCTCCTGTTCTATGGTACTCGTACAGGGAGCCACGTGCCGTACAGATGCCTCTATCAGCGGCATAGTAGCTTGACGGCAAGAGTTCTGCGTGCTATTGTGGATACGCTATCGGCGCTGCCATCCGAGTGCGTGGCTGGTCCTGTGTATTTCCTGCGCCATAGCAGAGGAGATACTCCATCCATCACAGGTTAGGTAGAACAGGAAGTGTAGTGAATAATACTAGAATATCTTCAACTTAGGTATGAGCTGATAACATAAGTTGACTATAAAAACTATGAAACTATCTAGGAAACGAGCGTGCTTATATAGGCTAGGAGATTCGTGCTCTCAAGTGCTTACGACGGAACACCTTGTAGCATTACTTATACAGAGATGTCCTGGAGCGTTGCTTATACGGAGACGTCCTTAAGCATTGTTCCTAAGTGCTTATGGATGAGCACCTCTGAACACTACGTCGGGAGGTACCGACCTTGTAAATAGTTCAGGGTCCGGTAGGCTTGTCTAAGCCTGTTATAGCTTCTTCACAGAGCGCTAGGCAATCCCTTAGTGCCTGTCTGTACTTAGCGTGTTCACGTGCTATAACACTATCCCCTCCTCTTACTAGCTTGGTCCCACAAGCTAAAAGAGTGTCTTGCAATTTCTGAGGTTCTTTCAATTCTTTCTTCTGTAATGCCTCTATCTGCTTCGCGTATCAGTAAACCTTCCTCTTGTGTTCGTGGTCAGGCTCTTGCTGCAAAGATAGCCCTCTAGGGTTGTCGGATTAACATGTCTTGTTTGGTATACAAGCGTAACAAGAAGCCGTGTTTCTTTTCGTCACATTCCTTAAAGTGTTCGTATTATATGGCGAAGGGTGTTTCTTATGACAGAAACTATTCAGAGGATGCGTTCCAGAAGTTAGAGTTAGAGCGGACTCGTCTAGAGGCTGCTTGTTCTTACGCTATTACAGAGGTGTTACGCTCTATTGCTAAAGTGACGAGTTTGGATTAGCGTATCAAGTCTTTAAAAAAGGTTTAAGGTCAAATGATTAAGCAGGAAGCTCTTTCCTTAGAACAGGAAGATCTTTATTAAGGGTCGTAACGTACTTATATAATTGTTTAGCTGATTTTTCAACTAATTTTGAAGGATCTAAGGCGTCTTTTGAGCTTCATTCAGAGCTAATAAGGATAGGGATGTCAGGAGCTATCAAGAGCTATTTTTAGGGCTTGATATAGCTGAAATAGAATGAAATTTAGGATGAAAAGAGATCTTAATAAAGATATGTGGCTATTGAGTTTTATTATCTAATTAAATTTCTGTAAGTCTTGCGTTCTTTAGTACTAGTTCTAATAATAAGAT